TGTCTATTCTTGGTGCTAAATATATCCTGCCTTGCCCATTACTTACTTTGCTGGTTGTTATTATTATTATTATTATTATTATTATTATTATTATTATTATGTGTGAATTAAAATCAAGTGCTTTGATAATGGGCTTTCCTGTGATCTGTGTAACACGTTGAGGGGTAGAGTCTCCTTTCCAAGTAAACAAAATAACTATATTTATGATCAAGTCCAATCCGAAATCGAAGCATATGTTATTTGGGAGGTTACACAGGAGGATAAAACAGAAGAAATTAAAAATAAATGGAAGACATAGAATGGATAGAAAGAGGCGGAGACAAGGTAAATATTGTACAAAAATTAAGGAATCTCTGAGATTCCTCTCTGATACTGATCCCAATAAGCATGTTGGTTTAAGTTATGTTTATTGGGATCAGTATCAGAGAGGATTCTCAGAGATTCCTTAATTTTTGTACAATATTTACCTTGTCTCTGCCTCTTTCTGTCCATTCTGTCTATGTCTTCCATTTATTTTTAATTTCTTCTGTGTAACCTCCCAAATACCATATGCTACAATTTCGGATTGGACCTGATCATAAATATAGTTATTCCAATTTTCTACAGTCCCATTTTTTCCCCTTTTCCACCCCCAGGCCATTACAGCTTGCCTTGCTCAAATAATCAGCGTGAACCGTTCTTGTTCTTTTGCATTCATCTTATTATTCCCTAACACTCCCATTAGCATTAGTTCTGCATTCACTTTGAGAGGTATTTTAAATAATTTTTCCATTTTTCTATTATTTTTTCCTGTTTTTAAAAGCTTTTGAACATTCCCACCACATATGGATATCCCAGCCTTTACTTATAACACAATTGGCAACATATTGGGGTTGCCTCTTTTATCATAGATGAGAGCTGGGCTAGGGTCCTATACCATTTTAATTAAAACTTTATTTCCAATTCTTTATATATTTCCATTATAATTTCCTCTTCATTAAGCTCTCTGTTGTTTGACTTGTCAGTCGTCCTTCTTTCTGCCATTTAGTTTGTATGGTCTTTATTCACCATCCTTGACCATCAGTTTATATATTAGACCTGCCAGTCCTTTCTCTAATTTCTGTGGTTTTTAAATATATCTTCCCTCTTATCTTCTTCCTCTATTTTCCTTCCATATCTCCTTTATTTGTGTTTATTGTGTAGTCCCAATACTTCTAGCCAGTTTCTATTTCCAGTCTTCGTCATTATTCTGTCCCAGGGTATTAAATGGCCATTCCCGTCATACGTGTCTTTAATTCCTCATTTCTTTCCACCATTTTTGATCAGTCCCTTTCTGGTATAAACATTCAAGAGGTGTCTGTTTAGATGTTTCCGGCATCCATTTTGGCTCCCATTTTCCATATAGAACCATAGAGTTGGAAGAGACCTCCTGGGCCATCATCCAGTCCAACCCCATTCTGCCAAGAAGCAGGGAAATTGCATCCAAAGCACCCCCGACAGATGGCCATCCAGCCTCTGTTTAAATACCTTTAACACTACCTTTCTGGGACCCGTTGAAAGTCCTCTTGAGCAAGTTTGCAAGACTCCTAACAGACATGGCCTTACTGACGGCTGATCTTAACTCATCTCTTGCCAGAAGTGATATCAAGATTAGATTTCAGCAGTAAACTCCTAATAAAATTCTCTTCGTGTTACAGGGGGTTATTTGTCTTAACCGATCAGATTGCCAAAGCCATTAACATAACAGTGATGACACAAGATCACTTTTAGTAGTGGCCGCATAGTTTGTGCGCGGCTCAAGCATTTTGCCCAGAGGAGACCAGAGTCGTCTTTCAACGGGCCCTCTTCACGGCTCTTGCCAAAGCTTGTTTTCGAGTATTTTGTCTAGCATTTTGCCTCAAAGACTTACAGTTGATGGTTTTAGGAAGTCCAGTTTGGAAGCCTAACTGTTTTAACTGTTATATACTGTTATATATTTTGGAACTTGCTGTCCCTAAATATTTCATGGGAATATTTCCTTATCCTCAGAATGTATATGCCTTTGCAATTGCAAAAGTCTGTTGCATCTTTTAATGGTATTGAGCCGGTTGGAGGAGTGGGGAAGGGTGGGCAAGCCGATCCCCATGGAGCTCCCTTCAAGCCCATTGTACTCCAGTGATAAATAAGTTGACGTAACGAGAAGAAGCACTTTCTTTTGGCAAAACAATGCCATAACCTTTTGGAAAATGGGAATCTCCATAACTGTTCTCTCACGCGCTGGGCCTGGAAAGAATTGCCTTTAAAATAGGACGTGCAACTTGAGCCCAGTGGGAAGCCAGGGCCCCCGAAGAGAAGTTCTCAAGGATTTTCCACCACAAATGGCTTGTGAAGTGTCTTTAGATGGCTTGTGAAGTGTAACAAAGTCCTTTATTAATGAACAATCAAACAGAAACTTCTCTTGTCTTCAATAAAGTTATACAAATGCTTCCAGGCCTTTATGCAACTGGTAGTTTCCTAATCATGTCCACGAGGGACAGGCAATTGTCTTCAATAACTGTTTCTTTACTTTAAAGGAAAATCCCCTTTTTAACTTCTCCCAGGCTGACTGTCATCTAAGCCTTACAGTCTGATGTGGGCTCTGCTACCAGGTCAAACTGCGTCTCAAGCACCGGGTGGACCTACCAGTAAGGCCAGTAGATTCTCCAGCTGGAGTTCTTTGGTCTTTCAAACTGTTTACCCTCCAAATTTCCTCAAAGCTTTAGGGCTGCTTCCCTGGAAATCTTTGGAAATCTTTGGATGCTCTTAAGACTGTTCTCCCTTGGAAAGTCTTAAGGATTGAAGCTTTTGTACAGGAGAAGCTTGTACATGTCCTCTAAATTAGCTTTCCTTACTGAGACTAACTAAAAATGGCTCCCTTCCCTTCCCAATTGCCCTGAACAAGGGGCGGAACCAAAACTTAACCATGATGGACAGGTGACTTGCCCTACGACTGCAACCAAAGGAAGCCGCCTATCTGCAGAGTCCCTGAAACCTTGGACTGCAAGCAAACATATAATACAAAGCAAATAAAGTTGGAGCTCCTGGTACAGCCGTACCAGCACAATAACCATTTGGGAAATGGGGTTAATATCCATTGATTGATTGATTGATTGATTGTATTTTTATACCGTCCTTCTCAGCCCGAAGGCGACTCAAGGCAGTTTTGGAAAACCACTGGTCAAAGTAAAGGCATGAGCTTGTTGGAAGTCACAGCCTTTTGAAAAGTGATGTGTCAAAATGTAATGTTTTCTGGTGTGAAAATTGCTTATTGTTTAAATGTGATGGTTTCAGAAATGTATGGGTTAATGCATTCATGTAAAGCAACTAGGTCTTTCAGCTGTTAGACTGATGCATCTAGGTATGTCTTTGAACTGCCAGGGACAAGGATATGCCAGTGCACAAAACATATCTATTCAGCAGCTTTAGAAGTGTTCTTTGAAGTTGCCCAAAAAACATCTACTCTCGCTTAAAACATATTTGCTTTTAAATCATACTCTCAAGAGACAAAATAAACACTCTTCTTTAAAAGTAACAGAGTTGCTTTACCCACAAAGCTTCGTGTATACAGCATACAGGCACATTGCTTATGAATCCAGTTACAATGGGATTTTAGTAGTTTCTCTGTGTAGGTAACACAGGACAACATCCTTAGAAGAAATAGTCCATAGTCTGCTTTGAGAGTTTAATAAATCTCTGAGCATACCGTTCCTGCATTGAAGTATCTAAACCAGGGGTCTTCAAACTTTATAAACTGAGGGCCAGGTCAGAGTCCCTCAAAATGTTGGAGGGCCGAATTATAATTTGGAAAAAAAACATGAATGAATTCCAATGCACACTGCACATTTTTTTGTAGTGCAAAAAAAAAACCCATTTAAAAACAATACAGTAATTAAAGTGAAGAACAATTTTTTTTGGGGGGGGGGTTATTATTTAAGTAAACAAACATACATTTGCAAGTGTTTGTTGCATACAGTGCAATACTCACCATCTATTAATGTTCTATAATCCTTTATCTCATAGTATATTTCTATTAAGGGGTCACAGTCTACTATCTAAATATTACATAAAAAGATATCATAGATTCTTACTTTGCATCCACTTCTTCCTTGTCTACAGTCTTATAGGATCCTACAGTAATTAAAGTGAAGAACAATTTAAACAAATATAAACTTATTAGTATTTCAGTGGGCAGTGTGGGCCTGCTTTTGGCTGATGAGATAGGACTGTTGTTGTTGTTGTTTTTGTGTGCTGTCAAGTTGTTTCAGACTTAGGTTGACCCTGAGCGAGGGCCGGGTAAATGACCTTGGAGGGCCACATCTGGCCCTCGGGCCTTAGGTTGAGGACACCTGCTCTAACCTGTACTCACTGCTTCTTATGCAAACACAACTTCTATACATGGCTTCTCAAAACAAACACACAATCTAAAATGGAGTCTTAGTCCTGAACATGTCCAGACCTGATCACATGGTCTGCAGCCCCTCCCACAACAAAGAGATTAGGTAAAATTGCAAACCAATACACACATGCAAGGGAGACCCGAGTGGTGCAGTGGGTTGAGCCACTGAGCCACTGAACTTGTTTACCGAAAGGTCGCAGGTTCATATCTGGGGAGTAGTGTGAGCTTCCGCTGTCAGCCCCAGCTTCTGCTCACCTAACAGTTCGAAAACATGCCAATGTGAGTAGATCAATAGGTACCACTCTGGCAGGAAGGTAACGGCATTCCATGGAGTCATGCCAGCCACATGACCTTGGAGGTGTCTACGGACAACGCCAGCTCTTTGGCTTATAAATGGAGATGAGCACCAACCCTCAGAGTCAGACACAACTGGACTTAATGTCAGGGAACAACCTTTACTTTTACCTACACACATGCAATACAGTAAGCAATTATATATATATAACAAACAACTAGTGGAGGCTTGAGAAACTTGCTATTTCCAACACTTTCCATAGCTTTTGAAAGTGTCATGAAACATTTCTAACCAACTGAATTTATATTGCAGACTTCGTGCGACAAGGATGTGATTCTGAATATCTTAAGCGTTCTCACTGATCTTCTTTCTGTTGGTAAGTGGGAAGCTGAAAATTGCATGTACAGTTCTTATGTATGTTTCTTCTTGTTGGCTAATCTGTCATGGTGTGTTCTAGGCAGGGTTTGTTTAAAGAAGGCTTCCTATTGCTTTCCTCTTCAGCTAAGAGTGGCCCCTCTGTCTGTCTGTCTATCTAATGCAGTGTAGATGGGGATCTAACAGTTGCATAGCAGGAGGCTTCTGGAGAGGCTTCTTTAACTCTCCTTCCATTGGTTTCTCCCTAGGAACAAATAGGAGGCTTCTCTACACTATCAGCAAAGGTGGAAGTGAAGCACTTCTCCAAGCCGTGGTGAATGCTGCCCAGGTGCCCATTCCTGACTATGATATCCTCTTGCCCTTGCTTCGTCTGTTGGCCAAAGTGGGCCAAAAAGGTAAAACTCCTAAGCTTTTACTATATGTGTATCATTGTGCTGACTGCAGTCTGCGTCTGCAAAAATCTTTGCACCAAGAAATACAAACCCTGTCACGGCCTCCATGTTTTCTCCCTCTATTTCCCAGTTGTCAATCATTCTTGTTGCCATAATCTTGGTTGTTTTGATGTTTAGCTGCAACCCAGCTTTTGCACTTTCTTCTTTCACTTTGATTAGAAGGCTCCTCAGCTCCCCCTCGCTTTCAGCCATCAAAGTGCATAAGGAGAGCAATGTCCAATCTTGATAAAATAGTGAAGAGTAGAGACATCACACTGGCAAACAAGAACCGCAGAGTAAAAGCAATGGTATTCCCCATAGTCACCTATGGATGTGAGAGCTGGACCTTAGGGAAGGCTGAGCGAAGGAAGAGAGATGCTTTTGAACTGTGGTGCTGGAGGAAAGTGCTGAGAGTGCCTTGGACCACCAGTATGGACCAACCAGTTCATACTTCAGGAAATGAAGCCCAACTGCTCGTTGGAGGGAAGGATATGAGAGGCCAAGATGAAGTATTTTGGACACATCATGAGGAGACAGAAAAGCCTAGAGAAGAGAATGATGCTGGGGAAAATGGAAAGAAAAAGGAAGAGGGGCCGACCAAGGGCAAGATGGATGGATGGCATCCTTGAAGGGACTGGAATGACCTTGAAGGAGCTGGGGGTGGTGACGGCCGACAGGAAGTTCTGGCATGGGCTGCTCCATGAGGTCACAAAGAATCAGAAACGACTGAACATTCGAATGAGCAACAACGTCATTGTGCTGAATCTCTAGCTGTGCTTCTTCACTTACCCTTTTAAGGTGGAGATCTTTTGGCTACCAATAATGTGGGATTCAGTACTTAAATTCTGAATGTTCCCATTGAGTCCATGAAGAGTCTTTTCCCTTTAAAATATAGCATTGTTTAATAGCTGGACAAAGTTGAACTGGTAGAGTGTTGTGAAAGGCATTGCCCACTTTGATTTCAAAACTCCTGGCCTTCTTTTTGTGAAGTGAGAAAGCCAAGTTTATGTGCCACGACATTATAGCTAACACAGCTCCATTCTTGTACTTAACACAGCTTTGGGGAAGCATTCTCATTTAGGAAAAGACATGGGGACAAAAAATAAACTCTACTTCTGTGCTGCTATCAACCCATGCATACTCCTTGGAAAAAGATAGAGAGACTATTAAAATGTCAAGACTGATCTTCAGGTTGGTAGCTCAGTGCATCATATGGTTATTCAGAAGTGCATTTCTCAAATCACAAGGAGCAACATCTTTGGTATCTTGACCATAGGCAAAGCAGGGATGGGCTCCAGCTTCCAGGAACCATGCCTGCCTCTCTTTTCCAGAATCCATATTCCAGCTCTGGTAAGAATGCCAGCCAATCATCAGAGGAAACCTAGTTGATGGGCAGAAGGTGGGCTTCAGGAACCAAACTTAACTCAGGTCTACTCCTAGTCCATTTATGTTTCTTTTCCTACTTCATAATCATCATCCCCAGCCTTTCCCTTCAGCGTGCTGGAAGAAGCAAAGACCACCAGCATTGAAGCAATGGTCCTCCACCATCAACTCCACTGGACCGGCCATGTTGTCCAGATGCCTGACCACCGTCTCCCAAAGCGGTTGCTCTACTCCGAACTCAAGATCAGAAAATGGAATATTGGAGGACAGGAAAAGAGATTGAAAGATGGGCTCAAAGTGAACCTTAAAAACTCTGGCATAGACACTGAGAACTGGGAAGCCCTGGCCCCTGAGCGCTCTAACTGGAGGCCAGCTGTGACCATCAGTGCTGTAGAATTTGAAGAGGCACGGATGGAGGGTGAAAGAGAGAAACGTGCCAAGAGGAAGGCGCGTCAAGCCAACCCTGACCGGGACCGCCTTCCACCTGGAAACCAATGCCCTCACTGCGGGAGAAAATGCAGATCAAGAATTGGGCTCCACAGTCACCTACGGACCCACCGACAAAATGCCGAACTTGGAGGACCATCATCCTCGGACTATGAGGGATTGCCTAAGTCGCCTAAGTTCCCCTTCAGTGTTTGGGTTGTTGTTTATTTCATGATGTGACTACACTGCCAACACTGATGGTCATAACTTTGGGTAGTTTTGGCATGGGAATGGTGGAACCCTGTTTGAGGGTAGAGGGTGCCCATGTGTTCATCCTACCTGGTATGGAGAAATCCTCTTAAGAGGCCTTCAAATCACACCAAGTTTGGGGGCTCTCCCTCTCTCTCAGTTGGCAGAGGAACCTCACAGATGTTTCTGCCCAAAGAGAGACCCATACTTGCCAGTTCTCTCTAGCCAGGTGGACTAGGACCTTCAAAATCTGGAATGCAACCCAGAATAGATTTACAGATTGAACTGATAGAAGGGGCAGCAGCCACTGCTGATTATAAATATTACCCATTTGCCTAATTATCCCTTTCCAAGTGATACGGTCAGGGCACAAGCACATGACTGAGTGAGGGTCACTTTGCTTCTGCCCAGAGGTCTGCAGAAAAGTCACGCTGTGCAACCTCATTACAGAGGGGAAGGCAAGGTCTGCTACGTGAGGCTATTTGCCAAAATGTGTTGACTTGCAATGACGTGCTCATATTTTCTGAGATTTGGTGGAAGGAATTAAAGCAGAAGCTGGTAGGGAGCCCAACTCAAGCAGGTAAGTCGGCCAACACATGGATCACACATATTCCTGGATCCACAGAATAGAATCCTAGAGTTGGAAGAGACCTCCTGGGCCATCCAATCCAACCCCATTCTGCCAAGAAGCAGGAATATTGCATTCAAATCACCCCCGACAGATGACCATCCAGCTTCTGTTTAAAAGCTACCAAAGAAGGAGCCTCCACCACACTCTACAAGGGGCAGAGAGTTCCACCGCTGAACAGCTCTCACAGTGAGGAAGTTCTTCCTCATGTTCAGGTGGAACACAAATAAGTCCCGTTAGAATCCGTGGGAATTTTCCCTTACACATAGGATCAGATTTTCCGCTCATCTTACAGGCCTCCCTCTATTTTAAAGGAGATTATGCAGCATCTAATTAGTGCTTGCCTGAAACGAGGGTTCATGTTAACTGAGAGTGTGGCAAAGGTTAAGCCAACCAGTGTGAATGGAGTAGCTTTGACATTTATTTATTTATTTATTTATTTATTTGCTTTACTTCTATACCGCCTTTCTCAGCCGAAATGGCGACTCAAGGCGGTTTACATAGTAAAGGTCAACATAACAACAACAAGAAGGCAGTTAAAAAACACATTATACAAAACATTAGGTCAAAATATATGCCTCAGCAAACAAATCAGAATCAGAATCCGTAATCATAATCCTTTATACCAATTCCTGTGATCAATTGTACCATATTACTGTATTTCATTGCATTATTTAGCCAAACGCTTGTTCGTAAAGCCAAGTCTTGACCTTCCTCCGGAATGCCAGCAGTGAAGGGGCCTGTCTGATGTCCACAGGTAGGGCGTTCCATAGCCGAGGGGCCACCACCGAGAAGGCCCTGTCTCTTGTCCCCGCCAACCGCGCCTGCGGTTGACATGAAGCAGTTTTGGAACAAAGCATACCCGGAAATTTGTAAAAATCCTCATAACTGCAGAACCCATAGCAACATCACTTAGGTTGTCAGGAAAGACAAAAAATGCAAAAGCTCTATGTGTAAGTGAAAGCATATCAGAAACACCAGATAAAATAGCTTGGGTTTATTTATTATTTATTTCAAACATTTGTACCCTGCCCTTCTCAACCCCGGGGGGGGGGGGGGGGGGGGCGCTCAGGGCGGCTTACACCCGGCACAATTCGATGCCATTACATATAAATAATACATACAGAATTACATATAAAACATAGTAAATTAGTTTTAAAAGTAGTTTTAAAATAAAAAGAACATTAATAAAAAGTGCAATAATACTGTCTGTCTAGCCTTATGTAGGAACAAATTCAGCGGGCACAAAGCAATCAGAAGCCTGTCCATAGTCCATTTTCCATAACATTATCATTATTACCATTGTCAAATTATCCGCCGGCTACCCAAAGGCCTGGCCCCATAACCACGTTTTCAGTTTCCTCCTGAAGGCGAGGAGGGATGTTGTTGACCTGATTTCGCTGGGGAGCGAATTCCACAGGCGAGGGGCCACCACCGAGAAGGCCCTGTCCCTCATCCCCGCCAAGCGTGTTTGCGCCATGATACATTTCTCTGCAAGTTTCAGTCGTTCAGTACTATTTATTTATTTATTATTTAAAACATTTATATTCCACCCTTCTCACCCCAAAGGGGACTCAGGGCGGAGCACAGCATATACACGGCAAACATTCAATGCCGGGACACAAATTCACATACAATACATAAACATTACAAAACATTTATCAAAATATTAAAATACACCATTTCATAGAATCAAAGAGTTGGAAGAGACCTCCTGGGCCATCCTCCAGTCCAACCCCATTCTGCCAAGAAGCAGGAATATTGCATTCAAATCACCCCTGACAGATGGCCATCCAGCCTCTGCTTAAAAGCTTCCAAAGAAGGAGCCTCCACCACACTCCCTCCGGCAGAGAGTTCCACTGCTGAATGGCTCTCACAGTCAGGAAGTTCTTCCTCATGTTCAGATGGAATCTCCTCTTGTAGTTTGAAGCCATTGTTTCGCGTCCTAGTCTCCAGGGAAGCAGAAAACAAGCTTGCTCCCTCCTCCTCCCTGTGGCTTCCTCTCACATATTTATACATGGCTATCATATCTCCTCTCATCTTTCTCTTCTTCAGGCTAAACATGCCCAGCTCTTTAAGCCGCTCCTCATAGGGCTTGTTCTCCAGACCCTTGATCATTTTAGCCGCCCTCCTCTGGACACATTCCAGCATCCTCTAAAGGACAGGAGGGAGGGGGCCGACCTGATCTCACCAGGAAGGGAGTTCCATAACCGGGGAGCAACCACTGAGAAGGCCCTGTCTCTCGTCCCCACCAATCGTGCTTGTGACAATGGTGGGACGGAAAGCAGGGCCTCCCCGGAGGATCTAAATCTACGAGAAGGTCTTGTCTACTGTGCCAGTATCTGGAAGATGTACCTTAGTAATTATTGTTTCCTTGTTCGTTTTCTGTCTCTCTCAGATAAGAAATTTGGGCTGAAAGCACAAAGACTGGGAGCACTTGATACGACACTCAGCTTGGCAAGGAAGAACATAAATCATCACCAGAATCTCACCCCCTGCCTTTGGGCGCTCCAAGTGTATGCTTCTAGTGGTGAGTGCGTGGCAGCTTCTGTTTGTTGTCTGCTTGGCTATAATCATTAATGCTTATACTCATTGCAACCACTTCCAGAAATGCAGCTTGCATTGGTTTGGGATTTGCGGCAAGAGAAGGCGAAAAGATGAAATACAACCAAGAAAATACAGAGGGGATAGGAAAAAAGTAAGCTTTAGAATGTGTGAAGGGTTCAAGGTCACGAAAAGATTGTGATGTGAACACAGTGGAGGCAACAAGGAGAAGCTGGAGCTGAGGTCAGGAGGAAAACAACACGTATCAGAATAACTAGCATTACTCACACTTTCTTCCAATTTGGCTGGAGCGGTATCGATACATCTTTTGTCATCCCGTTTCCCACCTGCTTTCAAAGTGTCCCAAGTTCTCTCTCCTCTTCTGCTCTTTCTTCTTTTGTTCTCAGTTTACTTCAGTTGCTGCAAGTTGAGATCAACAACAACAACAACAACAAAACTTTATTTAGATACCGCTCTATCTCCTCAACGGGACTCAGAGCGGTTTCCAAGTAACATCATCAATACATACAAAGAAAACAGCATAAGCATAACATTAACAAGACAATATAAGCATTCAAAAACCACAATAGCACATATATATTTAAAATAATCCTGCCTGTTCAAGGCAGTTTAAAAGGCCGGGCTGGGCTAGTGCGATTTTAGAGGGCCCGGGAAATTAGGTAGAGCCTATGGCTGTCCATTTCCAGGGCCTCATAGAAGAAAGTGACCTGGGTAATGGGTAGAAGAAGGTGTGGCCAGTTTCAACAGTATCTGGGGCAGAGCTAGGACTAGTCGTTCTCAAGGGTTTGTTTAAACCACCAGGTCTTCAGGCTCTTACAAAAGGAGGGGAGGGACGGGGCCTGTCTTAGTTCTCCAGGAAGGGCATTCCAGATGTGGGGGGTCACCACCGAGAAGTCCATCTCTCTCGTCCACACCAACCGTGCTTGTGACAGTGGTGGGAGCGAAACAAGGCCCCCCCCCCCAGAAGATCTTAAAGTTCATGCCGGTTCATAGAGGGAGATGCGATTGCGAAGATAGGCGGGGCCCAAACCGTTTAGGGCTTTATAGGTCATTACCTGCACCTTGAATTTGGCTTGGCAACTTATCGGCAGCCAGTGAAGCTGTTTTAAAAGGGCCGTTGTATGCTCCCAATAGTTTGCTCCAGTCAGGAGCCTGGCTGCCGCCTGTTGTACCAGTTGGAGCTTCCGGGCCGTCTTCAAGGGCAGCCCCACGTAGAGCGCATTGCAATAGTCCAATCTGGATGTAACCAAGGTGTGGACCATGCTGGCCAAGTCAGACTTCTTGAGGTATGGTTGCAGCTGGCGCACAAGTTTAAGTTGTGCAAAGGCCCTCCCAGCCACCACTGACACCTGAGGCATCAAGTGACAGCGTTGCTGCAGGAGGACCCCCCCCCCCCCCAGCAAAAGGAGTTTGTATTCAGCAGGGAGGAGAGGAGGAGAGAGGAGGAAGTGGAAACTTTCCCAGCTCATTCAGGCAGAAGCAAACCACTTCAGTTTCTCCTAGCATTAATAAGTTTTGACATATTGACCACACTCTGATGTTGCTTGGCTACATGCACCCTGGTTTTCATCTGTGAAATGTGGAAGGATATGCTCTCCTATACATCACGTGTGCCTAGTCCTTCCTGATTGTGATGAACTACCTTTTGGGAAATGGAAATCTCAATAACCTTTTGGAAAATGGCATTTCATAATCATTTGAGAAAACCAGGGATCCTCCTGAGAACAGTTTAAAGACTTGCTTGAGTCAACCTTCTCCTTAGTGGTAATTCCACTAGCATTCATGCAAAGCAGTTAGGTTTCTCAGCAGTTAAACTGACAGACCTACCTAGATATCTCTTTGAACTATTAGGGACAAAGATATGCCAATGCACAATATATATCTATATCTATATAAATGCTCTGTGCATCATGAGTACCTTAAAAACAAAAGAACCAATGAATGAAATCACACCAAATTTGGCAACAAAACGTCTCACAACACAAGGAGTGACCATCACTCAAAAATTATGATTTTGTCATTTGGGAGTTGTAGTTGCTGGGATTTATAGTTCACCTACAATCAAAGAGCATTCTGAACTCCATCAACGATGGAATTTAACCAAACTTGGCACACAGAACTCCCATGACTAAATAAATAATTGACCTTGAGTTTGGGAGTTGTAGTTCACCTACATCCAGAGAGCACTGTGGACTCAAACAATGATGGATCTGAACCAAACTTGGCACAAGCACTCAATACGCCCAAATATGAACACAGATGGAGTTTGGGGGAAATAGACCTTGACATTTGGGAGTTGTAGTCACTGGGATTCACAGTTCACCTACAATCAAAGTACATTCTGAACCCCACAAATGACAGAATCAGGGCAAACGTCCCACAAAGAAGCCCCATGACCAACAGAAAATACTTATCCAACTCCCTTCATCAGGGCAAGAAAACATAATCAAGCCCTCCTGACAAAGAGTCATCCAGCCATAGATATAAATAGACAGATATAATTCACACACACAGAGATAGTATTATATATTTGAAAGGGACCCTTAAAGAAGGACAATGATATGTTGCATGTTCCAGGGTGGGCAAACCAGACACTCTCCACATCAACACTGACCAAGAAACAGCCAGAAATACTGTTTGCCCACAAGCAGAAAGAAATTACGTATATTAGAAACCAACACTTTCTCATTACTTAATGTTCCAGATCACTAGGCTGGGCCACAGCAACGCGTGGCAGGGGACAGCTAGTATATATATATATCTACTCCCTTAAAATGTCTTTGTTCAAATCATCCTCTCAAGAGACCAAAAATAAGTAGACTTCTTTAAAAGTAATACAGTTGGTTTACTCACAAAACTTCATGTATTCAGCATACAGGTACATTGCATATCAATCCAGTTAGGATTTGAAGTAGTTTCTGTGTATGGATACCACAGGGCATCTTTCTTATAGTCTTGACAATCCAAAGTCTAGAGAATCTCTGGTCTGAGAGTCCAAAAGAGTCTCTGTCTAGTCTGAAAGTTCAATGGAGTCTAAACTGTACTGTTTGTAAAATGGAGTCTGAGTCTGAACAAGTCCCAGATCAGGTCACGTGGTCTGCAGCCCATCCCACAACAACGAGTTAAGGAAAACTGCATATCAACACAAACACACATGCATTACAGTAAGCAATCTATATTATATACAAAACCAATCACTAGTGGAGGTTGAAAGGAGGTTGCTATTTGCAACACTAGTGGATGGAGAATACCTTCCTAGCCATTTTGAGTCCAGAGAAGACGCAAAGTATCTGAGCAGTGTCTGGCTGCTGCAGGTCTGTTGTTGTGAGAAAGGATTGCTACCGTCCTCCAAATGCTCCATTGTGGGTTTGACAAGAACATGACCATTGTTTAGTTTATTTATTATTTATTTAAAACTTTTATATGCCGACCTTCTCTAACCTCCGTAGAGGGACTCAGACCGGCTCACAACAGGATTCAATAATAACAATACAATATACAACATCATACAACAACAAGTAAAAATACATATAGATTAGATTTACCAATAAGCCAAATCACCAGGATAAGATCATGTCCATTGCTGGCTTTGATCATCCATAAAACATCTTTACTGCCTATAGAATACTTGAAATTATTCCCTCTTGGACAACAGCTTTAAAAGCATCTTGCTGGACCATCTGGACACGAATTCGGATGTCAAATGTTGTTTAGAATGGCCAGAAAGGGGATGCTGTACCTTTAGTGGTTGTTTAGAAGAGAGGATTTCAACCAGTGTTGCTTGTTGTCATCTGATTGCTTTATTAGCATCACCTACAAAATCCCTTCTTCTACAACCATTGCAGCAGTGGTTCCCAACCTGTGGTCCATGGACCATCAGTGGTCCACAAGAGCAAGAATATGATTTGTGGCCTCACCCTTATGACACCATTGCTTGAAACCACAAAGCAATGAGAGTGACTGGTCTCACGAAACCCTCTTATAGTGCCAAGGCAACAGGGATGTTGGGAGAGGAGACGGGGATTACCTACGAAAGATTGCTACTACCATATCAGCTCTAGATTATTAAATATAGTTTTCTGTGGGCGAGCAGATGGCCACTACTGGATGGCATACGTTCTGTGTCAGAAACTAGAACTCATGTGGTCTATCCAATGCAGTTTTCTGAATCAGCAGCCCAAATAACAAAACCGAATCTAAAATTGACCAAAAACAGATTTGTAACCCTTTTGGTACTAATGTTGGAGAGTGGTCCCTGGTCAAGTGGTCCCTGGTCAAGAAAAGGCTGGGAATCACTGGATTACAGGTACAGGAGGCCCTTCCATTTTTCACTCTGGGAACCCTATTAGTATGTGGAGCATCATCTACCTTGAACATCGCCCCCCCCCCCCCACATCTGTTGGTACTGCATGGTAGATGCCACTTAATCATGGCCCCTTTCTGCTCCAGAGTGAATGATCCCACCCCAGCACATTCCCGGTGTGCCTTCCTCCCCAGCTGCTCGCACACTCGCCCTGACCTCCTCTAACCCCAGAGCAGCTTCGACTTGGGAGAATCCTAACTGGACCATCAGCATTTGGCCCAGGCTGACATGCTTGGCATTATCAATCTCCCCCTGAAGATTGAATGGAACTGGCTGCTGGCCCTCCAGGTTTCCTCGGCCACAGGGAGCTCAGGAGTCTTCCCTGTGGCTTCACACTGTGGACCTTCCAGGGCAGGCCGCCAAGCCTCCGGGTCCCAGGCCTTTTCTCCGACGTAAGCATGATTGGAAAAGGTGGATGTAAATGGAGACGGGAGTTGAAATGCATCTTGATTTAGCTTACAGCATGCTGTGTTTATTCCGACGGCCCTGCACGTTCTTCCCTTGTGCCCTGCCTTCTGCCGTTGTGCTAAGGGGTGCTTCAACACAGGGGCCCGTGGGCCAGGGGCCCCCAACTTCTTGCCAATGATTTTTTTAACAATGGATTTTGCTTACCTGGTGGAATTCTGAATTGGAAGGCATTCTGTTTTGGAGTGATTCAGCAGTGGAACTCTCTGCCCCGGAGGGAGTGTGGTGGAGGCTCCTTCTTTGGAGGCTTTTCAGCAGAGGCTGGATGGCCATCTGTCAGGGGTGCTTTGAATGCAATATTCCTGCTTCTTGGCAGAATGGGGTTGGACTGGATGATGGCCCAGGAGGTCTCTTCCCACTCTAGGATTCTATGAGGCTGGATGGCCATCTGTCAGGGGTGCTTTGAATGCAATATTCCTGCTTCTTGGCAGAATGGGGTTGGACTGGATGATGGCCCAGGAGGTCTCTTCCCACTCTAGGATTCTATGAGGCTGGATGGCCATCTGTCAGGGGTGATTTGAATGCAATATTCCTGCTTCTTGGCAGAATGGGGTTGGACTGGATGATGGCCCAGGAGGTCTCTTCCAACTCGAGGATTCTAGGATTCTATGATTCTAATGATAGATTTGATAGTCTATGGGAGTGTGCCACAAAACAGGGAGTGTAGGCATACTGGGTCTAGCTCCTTCAGGGCCCAAGGAAGGGGCCTCATCACTTAACTAGCCAGGGCCTCATTTGTCCGAAATCCGGCACTGGCCAGGACCCAGAGCAAAGAGGGTGTTGGAATCCTGACCTGCGGGGCCAATGGTGGGGGCTGGTAGTGACACAGCCAGGGCCAGGACGTTTTGCCTCCTGAGACAAAGGACAAGATGCATTGCATCCTCCCAGGCAGGCATGTAGCTAGGGGGGGGGGGCATGTAGCTTCAGCCCCCCCCCCCCGAAATTGTCATGGTGGTTCGCGAAAAGGCCTTACTGGTGCATTATTTAAACTGTTATGTTTATTCATATCATGATCTGATCACCATACTCAATATATCCCATATATGGGGGTATTGGGGTAATGATACAAAAGGTTTGCTAGGCTAGACCCTCTTTCACTCAGACTCAGCCCCCCCCGAAACTCAGCCCCCCCCCTGAAACCCCCTGAAAAAATTCACCCCCCCCCCAAAACGAAATCCTGGCTACGGGCCTGATCCCAGGTACAGAGGATGAGAGGATGAGCAGCTGAATTGTATTTCAGTGCTGGCAGCAAGGCAGCATCTTTCATCATCCTGAAATGCTGGAGTGTCTTTTTTGGGGCATGGTGAGTTAGTGAACATTTCTGCATATTTTTCAAAAAATAATGTTTTGCACTTGGGACATCTTTGCAACAAATCTATTTCTGACAAACACACAGAGAGATGGGTTGTTGTAGGTATTTCGGGCTGTATGGCCATATTCTAGAAGCATTCTCTCCTGACATTTCCTCTGCATCTATGGCTGGCATCCTCAAAGGTTATAAGGTCACAGAGATGGCTTGGGTATCCTTGCAAAATGAATGAACGAACGAACGAATGAAGCATAATCTGTACTACCAAGCTTGCAAACTCTGTGTCTTTTGTAAGTTTGTTTGTTTGTTCTGTCACAAATGTAATACAACTGTTTGGTTGCCTAACATGATAAATAAATATACCTTGCCACCATCTCTCCAAAGGGACTGCCGTCCAACCATATTATACAACAAAACATAACAAAATAACACAATAACAATAAGATGCACATTACTTAAAACATAAACACTCCTCCCATGATTCTGTTAAAAGACTCAATAAAACACAGCCGTCACTCCAGATACAAACAATACACTGTATTTAACATCAATCTCATAAAGTGCTAGAGTGACACAAATCACTAAGGTCCTGAGGAATGCCTGCTGGGGTTCTAAACATGGTCAAAGACCTGCTTAAAAATCATGTTTTCAGATTTGTTTTGCAAACTTGAAGGGTGGGGGCTAACCTAATCTCTCTAGGGAGGAAATTCCAGAGCAAGGGGGCCACCACCAAGAAGGTCCTCTCTCTCGTCCCCACCAACTGCGTTTGGGACTAAAGTGGGACCGAGAGGAGGGCCTCCCTGGCAGATCTCAGATGCCATGCTGGTTCATAGAAGGAGATGTGGTCTCAAAGATAGGTTGGGCCTGAAGCATACCAAACTCAACCTTTTGTGCAAAAGCAATGGCTGGGTTTTCACATGGGACTGGAGTTTACATAAGTGGACTTGCGCCTGCAGGAAATAGAATTGAGCAGTATCTCAATGTCTGTATTCAGCAAGGGGCTCCCATAACAATTCAGGCCCATAGTCAGATGGGGGTGTGTGTGTGTGTGAGTTAAGGGTTCGCCCCCCTCAAAATGTGTCAGGTTAAAAAAACCCATTAAAATTCATGAGTAAACCAATTTTTTTAACATGACACAATTCGGGGGGGGACGACGACCCTTAAACCCCCCCTGGCTATGGCCCTACGTGACATTACTACATAGGAAAGCCATAGTTGTAATTGTGTAACGTGTTAGGTTGTTAACTGTTTTTATACTGTAGCACTGAATTTTTGCTGTTCGTATTTGTTGTGAACTGCTGTGAGTCGCCTTTGGGCTGAGAACAGCGGTATAGAAGTCAGGTAAATAAATAAATAAGGTAAATAAATAGTTGCAGGTGAAACGTCAGGAGAAAATGCTGCTAGAACACAGCGATGCAGCCCGGAAATGACACAACACCAGTGAAGTGACTATCATGCATCAGGACTGGTGTGCACTGGGACTCCCAGAGATTGCTGGTGTTCATGAAAAGAGCGCAGTGCACATTGAGACACTTTTGCCGTTTTGCAACTTCACAACTCACTATGCATTTTGGTGTGGTTCTTCTAATCCTTGTACAAATTACTTCTGCCTAGACAGAAAAACATCTATTGGGTCCAAAGCTTTGCCAATAATCCCACAAACCTATTGGTTTCATGCCTTCATATTGCCTCTGTCTTATGAACAACCCTGTCGTAGCCCTTTTCTTGTCAGGATTTATTCAGAGGAGGTTTTCTGTTTCTTTTCTGTAAAACTGAGAGAATGGACTTGCTGGAGGTCAACCCAGAGGTTTCCATGGCTGAGTGGAGATTGTTCTGTGGACTCGAGTTCAGCACCCAAACGGCTACGCCACGCAGACTGTCGCTAAATAATCACCTACTTCTGTCATATTTCCAAATATATACAGACAGACCCCTCCTTCTGACCCAAACTATTATGTTCTTCCATTTGCACAGTGACAGCTGGAACCATGTTGGGTATTAACGGGGCGATGGAGCTGCTTTTCAAAGTGATCACACCTTACACCAAGAAGCGCACCAGAACAACAAGGTAGGCTTGTCACTCACATGGTACATCCTCCAGACTCTTGGGACTGGTAACTTAGCTTTGGGTAACATTTTGAAGTGTGTATGTGTAGGGATCTGTCATATATAATCCTGTAGAAGTCAACCTCAAAGTGGTCGAAATTATGGATTTAATACGGCCCATGGATAAGTCAAGGGTCACTCCACAGAGAGGGGAAAGTGCCCTTGATATTTCAAGGGAATCGCTTTCCACAATTTTCCCATCCAGGCATCCACAAAGCCCAGAAGCCATGTCTAGACTTATACATCATAGAATCATAGAATCATAGAATCAAAGAGTTGGAAGAGACCTCATGGGCCATCCAGTCCCCCCATTCTGCCAAGAAGCAGGAATATTGCATTCAAATCACCCCTGACAGATGGCCATCCAGCCTCTGTTTAAAAGCTTCCAAAGAAGGAGCCTCCACCACACCCTCCGGGGCAGAGAGTTCCACTGCTGAACGGCTCTCACAGTCAGGAAGTTCTTCCTAATGTTCAGATGGAATCTCCTCTCTTGTAGTTTGAAGCCATTGTTCCTTGCGTCCTAGTCTCCAAGGAAGCAGAAAACAAGCTTGCTCCCTCCTCCTCCCTGTGGCTTCCTCTCACATTTATACATGGCTATCATATCTCCTCTCAGCCTTCTCTTCTTCAGGCTAAACATGCCCAGCTCCTTAAGCCGCTCCTCATAGGGCTTGTTCTCCAGACCCTTGATCATTTGGCGCGCCCTCCTCTGGACACATTCCAGCTTGTCAATATCTCTCTTGAATTGTGGTGCCCAGAACTGGACACAATATTCCAGGTAAAGTGGTCTAACCAAGGTGGAATAGAGGGGTAGCATTACTTCCTTAGATCTAGACACTAGGCTCCTATTGATGCAGGCCAAAATCCCATTGGCTTTTTTTGCCGCCACATCACATTGTTGGCTCATGTTTAACTTGTTGTCCACGAGGACTCCAAGATCTTTTTCACACGTACTGCTCTCGAGCCAGGTATCACCCATTCTGTATCTTTGCATTTTGTTTTTCCTACCAAAGTGGAGTATCTTAGTTACAGTTAGGTGATTTCTCATTGTCCGATTAGGATAGTCTTCCAAGGTCGGTGTTCCGGCGGTGGATCCGTAGGTGACTGTGGAGTCCTAGTCTTGATCTGCATCTACTCCCTCAGTGAGGGCATCAGTTTCCAGGTGGAAGGCGGTCCTGGTCGGGGTTGGCTTGACACACCTTCCTCTTGGCACGTTTCTCTCTTTCACCCTCCATTCGTGCAGCTTCAAATTCTGCAGCACTGCTGGTCACAGCTGACCTCCAGCTGGAGCGCTCAAGGACCAGGGCTATTCAGTGTCTATGCCAGAGTTTTTAAGGTTGGCTTTGAGCCCGTCTTTCAATCTCTTTTCCTGCCCACCAACATTCCCTTTTCAATTCTTGAGTTCGGAGCAGAACAAATGCTTTGGGAGGCGGTGGTCGGGCATCTGGACAACGCGGCCGGTCCAGTGGAGTTGATGGCAGAGGACCATCGCTTCTATGCTGGTGGTCTTTGCTTCTTCCAGCACGCTGACGTTTCCCCGCTTGTCTTCCCAAGAGATTTGCAGGAATTTCCGCAGGCAGCACTGATGGAATGGTTCCAGGAGTTGCATGTGACGTCTGTAGACAGTCCACGTCTTGCAGGTGTATAGCAGGGTTGGGAGGGGAATTGCTTTATAACCAAGCCCCTTGGTCTCCCTACGGATGTCCCGGTCATCGAACACTCTCTGCTTCATTTGGAAAAATGCTGCACTCGCAGAGCTCAGGCTCATTGACATTGTTGTATTTCAAAGTCAATGTGAGTATATAGGGTAGTGTTGTTTGGGCCTTGGAACTGTTCCTGACTTATGATCATCCTACTGAGGCCTTATAAACATTTGTTCAAAAGGGATGGACTTTCTCTTCCTCTGAGGCTGAGAGACTTCAGTTTGCCCAAGGTCACTCAGTGGATGTCCACGGCCAAGTTTAGATTCTAATCCCATTTTCCAGAGTTCAACGTTCAAACCTCTAAACATGATGGCACTCAGAAATATAGTTTGAAAGCCATCAAACAGGTTGGAAGCTGCTTTCCCAGATGTATCTTCCCAGAAAGCTTGCAGAGTCAGACAAACGGTGTGTTTATTTTTAATCCCACGCTCTGCTTCCGTACGCTTTGCCAAAACGGAGAGCTGCCCTGAGTCTCTAGTGTCAAGCTAAAATTAGTTAGGCAGCTGTCTGCTGGAGTCCCGTCCCCAGTCAGTTCTCAGAGCAAGATTTACAAGGCATGCATGTTTCATAAATGAGCAAACACACATGCATTTGGACACCGGAGCAGGGCTTGTTGCTCTGGCTTCCATTGCTTTAAGGCAACAGGCAGCAAATGAAGCAGGCAGGCAGCAACCTGGGGATCACAACAACCTGGGGATCACAACCAGACACAGTGAAGACATCTGTCCTTGTGCTTTGCCATTCTGCTGCTGAATACGCATGCCCAGTGTGGAACACAGCTCACCACGTTAAAACAGTGGATGTGGCTCTGAATGAGACATGTCACATTATCACTGGATGTCTATGCCCTACCCCGCTGGAGAAATTACACTGTTTAGCTGATAGAAGCCAGTAATAAAAGGACCAAGGCAGGAACATCTCTGGCCCATCCTATGTTCGGATATCAGCCAGCATGTCAATGCCTTAAATCAAGAAACAGCTTCCTAAGATCTACAGAAAGACTTGCAAGAACATCTCAGCAAGCGGGAGTCCAAAAGTGGCAGGCTCAAACCCGGAATCTCACTCAGTGGCTGATACCAGATGAGAGACTCCCCCTTCCTGGGCACACAGAAGACTGGGTGACTTGGAAGGCCTGAACAGACTGCGCTCTGGCCCCACAAGATGCAGAACCAATCTTAAGAAATGGGGCTTCAAAGTGGAGTCCTTGACATGTGAGTGTGGAGACGAAGAGCCAACCACTGACCACCTGCTGCAATGCACCCTGAGCCCTTCTTCCACATGATGCACAAGGGAGGACCTTCTCACAGAGACACCAGAGGCACTCCAAGGGGCCAGAGACTGGTCAAAGGACATTTAGTACAATGCCAAGTTTTTAACTTTGTTTGTGGTTTTCAAAAACATTTTAACTATATTCTCAATTCATTTCTGACATGATAAATAAACAAACAAATGAAGGAAAAGAGATAAAAAGAGATAACCGAAGCTCTGAGCAGGGGTAGCAATAAAGGATAGTTTGCAGGGGTAGGAAGGATACTTTTGGAATAACATACCCTCCAACATTTCGCAAATGAAAATCAGAACAAGGATGGCAAAGCCATGCCACACCCCTCAACTCCTCGGCCACACCTACTCGTTATTTTATTGCACCTTGAATTCAATTTGCAGCAGCGGAAATAAACTGCGGACAACAAGGGAAGAGTGGGATCATAAGTGAGAAATTAGGACATTTTAAAAACTCCTGAAAATTTGATGACATTTAAATTGATTTAAGGGTTAACACCATTTTGCCTCCTTTCTACAATTAGTGATGTTCATTAAAAGAACAACACAATCACTAACAGTAATAAAAATGGTAAAAACACAATAACACTCCTATGTAAAATCAGCAGAGAAACAATAGCAACTGAATCAAACCACAACACCAAAAAATAGGAGCCGTAGTGGCGCAGTGGGTTAAATCCTTGTGCTGGCTGAACTGCTGACCCGAAGGTCGGTTGTTCGAATCTGCAAGATGAGGTAAGCTCCCATCTGTCAGCTTCAGCTTCCCATGCGGGGACATGAAAGAAGCCTCCCACAGGACGGTAAAGCATCCATGCATCCCCTGGGCAACGCCCCTGCCAATTCTTTTACACCAGAAGCGACTTGCAGTTTCTCAAGTTGCTTCTGACACAATAACCAAAAAATTAAATAAATTGAAATTATCCCATGCTATACTTGTAAATTAAATAAGAAATAACATAAGTAAGAATTCTCTGCTTTGCATATTTGATTGGAGAAGCCACTTGTGGAAGACCTAACAGCAAGGATTTGCATGGATGAAGAAACAGCATAGTGCAACCAGTTTAACACTGTCTCATTTACATTTCTGCATACTTATTGCCCCCTCCTTTCCACCTGCTAATGTGGTAAACGAGCTGTTCATGTGCAAAAAATAAAAATGCCAAGTGAGAGGCATTCCTTCCTGCAGCACTGCTAATTCTTGTGGGTACTAGGACCACCATTTCAGCTTTTCAGAAGGCTAAGGATGTGCAAGGTGTAAATATCTCCCAAAACTACAAATCCCCGAATTCCAGAATTGAGCCATGGGAGTTGATGCCTTAAAATACTGCATCCAAGGTCTCACCACATTACAGCACTGGGCAACTTCTTACCTTATAGGTATATACATAGGACTGCATCTTACACAATTTCTCTAGTTGACTCAGATTGAGGGAATTACAATTTAGCATCATCTGAAGGACTGCAAGGTGCCCATGCTGGCCTTCCAGGGTTGCTGAGGATGGCAAAGGGGACGCATTCCCGATCAGTTACCTTGATCGTTTTTATGAAAACATGCAGGAGAACTCCATTGCATACATCGAAGCATGACCAGAGAGTATATAAGATAATGCTCCATGGAAAGAATATTGGACACAGCTTTGAAAGGGGATTTGTGATTCTCCATGATGGTATGGTGTAGTGTTAAAGTACTGAGTATGAGACTAGGGGGGAGACTTTGATGGATATCATCCACCACTAAAGCACAAAGATCACTTTATCGGCTTGGGCATATTTATTTAGTCTTTAAAAGGGCTGCCAGCTTAGGAGAGTCCCAGGCCTTGCGGTTTCTGGGCCAGTACCTGAAGGCTAAGGATAGCCCGTAGTAATGCTTTTAAGCACTATGCATTAGTTACTAACCACGGTTGCTCACATACAAGAAGCTCAGCCTCCCATTGAACATTGAGAAGACCAAAGTGCTCTTCCAGCAGTCACCAGCCAATCC